ATTTCTTTTAACAGTGTTTTATAGTTTTCTTTGTATAGGTCCTTTACCTCTTTTGTTAGATTTATTCCCAAATATTTGATTTTTTTTGTTTTGATAATAAAAGGGATGGTTTTTTTGATTTCTTCTTCTTCAGATTTGTTGTTTGTGTATAGGAAGGCTACTGACTTTTGCGTATTGATTTTGTATCCTGCCATTTTACTGAATTGATTGATGAGTTGAATTAGTTTTTCTGTGGAGAGAAAATCAAAAAATTTTTAAAGGAATTTTTAATTTTTTTAATGAAATACCCTGGTTTTACAACTTGTTCATTTTTTTAATATTTTATTTTATATAATTGTTACATCATTTTTCATTTTTGCACAAGGTATGCATTTTCATTTTGGTGATTCCCCATACACTTGCACCCCTCCTTATTTTGATCCTAGTCCTTCCTCTCCCCACCCCATAGTGTGTCTCTGGTTTATAGTTGCTTGTTGATTTTGATTTTTACTTTGTATTAATTAGTCTTTTCCCTGGTCCCTTATTTAGGTTTTCTAAATTCCTGCTATGAGTGAGACCATCTGGTATTTTTCTTTTTCTTTATGATTTATTTCACTGAGCATGATCCCTTCCAGCTCTATCCATACAACTTGTTAATTTTTTGACAGTATAGGATTTCTCCCCTCGGATGTGGACACCATAGCCTCCCACCACCAAAGCCCCGCTGGTCCTCCACCATAGTCCAGTGTGTTCTCCTTCCACCTCCCATTTCTCCTCCCCCTCTGGCTGTTAAGGGCATTGTTTTAAAGATTGTTTGATACATTTTTCTGTAATCTAAAGCAAACTATATAATATTAAAATATATTTTTCTAATTTTTAGCATACAGTAAGTCAATACTTGAAAACTATTGTGTGATGGCAAGATTTTAAAGAGGAACAGGGCCTCCCCAGTGGCGCAGCGGTTGAGCGCTGGGTTGCGAAGCTGCCTGCAGCCTCTGCAGCGCCAGTTCGATCCCCGGCTGCTCCCCGGACACCAGAGGAGGGTCCCACATGGCACGCAGACCTCTCCTGCCGCCCGCTGCTCCCCTCAGCAGTGTACTTCAGTCCTTCTGCCTGCTCTGCTCCCCGCTCTGGCTTGGTGAATTCTCTCACCCTCCCACACTTCTGACTGTACCCAGTGCTTGTATAAATAAATAAATCTTTAAAAAAAAAAATAAAGAGGAATAAACTACAAACCTAGGAAAAGAAATAGGGAGGAAGGAGAGTAACTTATAACAGTTATTTGACTTTTGGGGGGGTTCTTTTCCTACAATAAATACTCTCGTTTGAGAAACTGACTATAATTCATTCATGTATCAGCATAAATATTTAATAAATGTCTAGTGTGTGTTAGGCCCTACTGGTTGATTTCCTTTCCTAGTTATCTGACCTATTTTTTCTTTCATTTATGTAACTAGTTGGAACTTGAATGTCTAGTTAGTATTTCCCTGATAAAGGAAAAGAATTGGCAGATGTCTTATAGTCCACTAAAGCTTTTGATGCCTTTCCTGTGGCACAGTGAGTTTTGCACTGACATTTCTTTAGGAATTTTTTCTTCCAGAAAAGTGAATGGAAAAGTATAAGTTGTTTCTGTACTATAATTTTAGTTTAGGTACACAAATATGTGGTGGAGGGAGAAATGAGATTTATATACACAAAAGGAATTGACTATGACTACTTGTTTGGATAAGCCTCTCTCTAAGAATTAAGTTAACTCATGCTCTGCTGGAGAGGTATGCCTGTTCACTTACCTGCGTAATACAGAAGCGTGCACCTGAGGACTTACCCAGTCTTGCTGTTCATCCAAGAGGAAATAAAATAAGGAGGAAAGAGCAGGGAAATAAGAAGAACAGAAACAGGGGCCTCCCTGGTGGCACAAGGGCTTAAGATACAACCCATGAAGCTATCCGCAGCCACTGCAACACGCGTTCGATCCCTGCCAGGGAGCTACCCACATGGCGCAGCAGACCTCTCCTGCCTTGCCCGCTGCTCCCCTCAGCAGTGTATTTCCATAGATCTGCCTGTTCTGTTCCCCTCTGTCTCTGGTGAATCCTTGCACCCCCTGTACCTCTGACCTGTACCCCAGTTTTTGTATGCATAAATAAATCTTTAAAAGAAAAAAAAAAGAACAGAAACCAAGTCTTGACTCATTTTAGATGTGTGTCTCTTTATAAATGTGCTGCTCTGGGCCTCATTCCAACTTTAAAATGAAAGTGCTCTCTGCTCTAGATCATCCCTTATAATCATAAAATTCTAGGGATATATCTACAAATCTCCATTACCGGATTCATGGGGAGACCACACCACACAAATCTCTTGAGCACTCTACAACTTTATCTCAAGGAAAAAATGGGTACCGCTTTAAAAAAATTTTATCTTTTAATGTGGTTTTATGACTCCATCAGTTACTTACTCATTTAGTGTCTTCTCTCCTCTACTTCCAAACAGAATTTCAATCAAGAGTTGACTTTGAGTAAACTGTATTAAGGGAGTTGATGTCCACTTGGATGGCTAAGTTTTTTTTTAAGGCCCATGCTCCTCTTAGGTGTTTAAAATAGTGAGATAGTGTCAGGGAGTTTCCTTAAAGAAACAGACGTCACCTGCTCTCATGCTGCTCTGCCTCTTCTCCTTAACTCTGCTGATAAATCTGCCAAGATCTGCTTCCATTAGGAATTATTGTTTTCACCCTGAGTGACTGTGGCAAGCTCTTCTTAGATAACATGGACGTTATTTTAGTGTGGTCCTTTGACCAATACCACTTTTGATTCCTGATAATTGTTTTCTTTCACCCATACCTAAGGACTCTCAGTACTGGAAGTGAGGGCCAGGGCTGGGAGGTAGATATGTGGAGACCAGCCACGTGGCCGGCTTCAGCCTTTTAAGGATATGCATAGCTAGACTTTCTCCTCTCTAGATCATGGAAACTGTTTTGAATATAAATGAGAGAACACTTTGAACAAGGTTGATTACTTCTGTAATGCAAACTGTGTAAATTCCTTTAAAAAAAGTAGAAAACCCAGAGTCTCCTGGGCAAATCTCTTATTGCCCTTTAAGAAAATCCAGCACTGGATTCAACCCAAAACTTTAATTGGCTGGAATCTTGACAAATTAAAAATTGAGGAAAACCTTTAGGTTTCCAAGATGTTGTTTCTAAAACTGGTTGTTATGATCTTTATCTCCTGGCTCAGTGCTCTGTACTCATAAATACACAGTTTCAAAGTTTTGGACAATGAAAGGAAATATGTTTTTAGATCAGCTTTGTACAAAATCCAGATTTTAATATGGTATGTTTTAATAGTATGTTTCTTTTCATAGGTGCTATGTAAAGTAGATCGCTGTTACTGAGTCAACACTGGGAGAAAAATGTTCAGATACTCAGGGCCAATTGTGGGGCAAATGGAGGCTTGCAGTGTAAGGCTTGCATTTTGTTTTGTGGTTGGTGATTACATTCAAAATGTGTTTGTGAAGAGAAGAATCAAAGATGTAGGATAGTGCTTCATAAGCAAAAATGATGCTGTTGATTGTATTGGTATATAAAGTTGGTAGTTTATGGTTGGAAGAATATAAAGAATTGTGTGACAAATGAAACATAAACATGTAACAGCGTGACTTCCTTTTATAAGTTAATTGCAGCTTGCAGCAGTGTTAATCTTTCCTTTGGTGCCATTGCTTATAAAGACCTTGTTACATTTATGAAGAAATCATGAATCATTCCAAACAGAAGTACATTCCAGAGAGGACTCAAGCCCCTCAATTTTGAAACACAAACCTCTTAGTTGGGAGAATTAATGTTTTCAGATGACAAAATCTTGTTGCTGAATTTAATCCTTATTACATTTAATAGTCTGTCATACGCAGTATGGTTCTTTTTAATTCTTTAATGAATTTCTATTACAACAAAAACAACAAACCAACCTGACAGTGTGGCCAGAGTGACATTTGGGTCCTGTGACTTAATGCTAGATTACTATTTTACATAATACTCAGGCCATACACATCTTATTCTTGAAAATATCTAAGGTTGTTATTCAGACATCTCTTTTACTTCATACAAATGCCCTATGCAAACTAGAAAGAATTCTTCCTTTCTATTTTAACCCTGATATTTACCGTCCTAAATAAAAAATACTTCCATATTCTAATTAAATTCTCTTCTAAATTTTGTTAAAAGCACTTGACTTAGAATTTGACAGATCCAGCACCTCTGTGATCTGGTCACCCAGTGTTGTCCTCATTCAGCTTCTTGCCTTACTCTCACACATACGCTGAGCTTCAAACCTTCTCTCTTCAGTTGCTCTTTTTATGGTTCTGCGGGTTATTTTCATCTCTTTCTAAAAGAAGTCAAATAAATAAGCTCATTGCAATATATGTTTTATTTTGCCAAACCATCACTCCTTCTCTCTTCTTGTCCTAGGTTCTCTGGTCTTTGAATACCCCTTTCCTTCCATTTTTGCTCTTGTTGTCAGTTTACACCCATGAGGAACCTTCTAATTCTGTCTGTCTTTATTTCTCTGCGATACTAATGCTGTCACCTGCTTACCTGAAATGTAACATTTCATTTCCTTTGTTCTTCTGCCTGATTATTCTTTGTGCCCAATGAGCCATTTTATTCCTTTGTCTTCTGCTGCTGATACTCACTGATACTTAGTTATCAGTGAATGGAGGTGGCAGGTAAATAATTCGTATACAATATTTGCATACTTCTTACCACTTTATGCCTTCATGTGCACATAGTTTGGTCCTCACAATCCCAAGAGCTGAGAAAGTGTATCGCTCTTTTCTAGGAGAGAAAACTGATGTTCAGAGCATTAAAATGTCTTGTTCCACAGCTTAACCAAGGTTAGGACCCAGGTCTACTGCCTCTTCCTACCACACCCTACCTTATCACCTCTCTCTGGCAGAAGGATTGCAATCCATTAAAAATCTTCACTGCGTTAGAAACTGGATGGAAATTAACCAAACCCTTCATTGTACCTTTGCAGATGAGAGTCCCTACACTAAATCTGCCAGCCAGACAAAGCCGCCTGATGGAGCATTGGCTGTGAGGAGACAGAGCATCCCAGGTTAGACCAGACTGTTGGATTTTTCAGCTGTTTTTCCTTTGAACCCTGTTATTTGGTGGACCTAAGTCATTCCAACTTGGTAATAAAAATCGTGCTATGTCATCAGGCGCAGACTGCATCCTGCACAATATGTTCGACGATGTTCATAAAATCTAGACTTTGGAAAAGCTTGCCAACTTGTGAGAAGTCATCTGTGTGCAAATCCTCTGTAAAATGACTTGAATTTATATCAGCTCTTGCTCATTTACTTACTCTCACCTCTGTTTTCCAGGGATGACTTTCACAGCATCTATTTCTTTATTGAAACAAACTTGCAGAACAAAGGGTTCAGAATTGCTGTAGCAGATCATATATATGCTGAATAAGAAATTACTCCTTTCTTCTTATCTCTTTGAAACCGAATTTACTTCCGTTGGATAGCTCTTGCAGAATTTTGGGATTTTGTATTCTTACAAAACTTCGGTTCATATCCTTGTAATGACAATAAGTGATACTTATTTTTTCAACAAACCATTTTGGAGAACTATCTTAAAATGTCTTTGCCCAGAATGTCAATATTTTGAAACATTTAATTTGAGAATGACACAGAAGTTCTAAAATTAAAAGGGGAATAAAATTCAAATTAGTATCCAAACTTGATCCAACTAGGTAATTCTTAGAAAACCTCTTATAGAATGCAACTGTTCTCAAGTGAAGGGTTGAAAGCATTATTAATTTCATACATATATCTAAAACAATATCCATTTATATTTTATACATGTCAGTTAAGTACCTGTGGGATTTTAGAGGACAGGAGTTTTAGCAGTTCAGGAGAAACAGCGCAGTATTCCCAACATTAAATTGAATGGTTTGGCAAATCTGTCAGTAAAAGGGGAATTCTCCATTTGAATAAGGAGCAAGATGAATCCACTTTCTGAGCAACTGAGTTCATGATTATTATTTTCTTTTGTAAGAATTAAATGTGGTTTTTCTTATTCTGAAAGCTAGGATTTGTTATGAAAGTACATGGCTCATGTAGAGACATATTGTGCCTATGAAACGTTGTTTGCATGTTTTGAAGATTCTAAAGCAATTTGAATCCTGTGTATAGATGGCATCAGCTCGTGCTGAGATTTCTTCTATTCCACACTATACAACATCATTCTTAGTACTGGTCACATTTAGCAAAACTCAGCGGTAGCCTGTGTTGGTCTCAGCATTCTTGTCAGCAATAAGGTATACCCACAGTTTGAAGTTCAAGAATGCTAGCTCTCCATCACTTCCTTCTTGGCCTCGCTACCGAGTACTCAGAGTAAAGAAACTTCCCAATATCCTTACCACTTTATATAATGCTAATTAAAGCACTGAATATTATCATGTTTCCCTTCGTGAGTTCTCTAGTGATAAATTCTAAACTATAATGCATGTTTGAGGGCCAGATTTTTCCTTAAAGTCATTAAGTCATTTTTTAAATTACATGTTAGCTATATCGAAGCTGTTAATCATAATTCTTACTTCATGATGCCCAAGTGATTCTTTGTGATAGAATTTTCCCTTTCATTCCTCCTAAGGCAATTCAAATGTCAATGGAGTCTTGAACTTTCTGTGTAGACTTAATGAGTTCTTTTTCTGGAGTTTGAAAATGGGCAAACACCTTTTAGTTCATTTATCATAAGATAGCAGCCAGAAAGGTCAGGGTTCTGCAAAATCTTCCTAGTTGTTTACAACAGTCCAAGTGAAAGAAGACTGTCAGCCAGATGGCTAAGAAAACAAAGTGGTTAATAACTATTTATTACTTATGGTTCTCTTAAGGAGAAAATTAAGGGCCATCTTGAAAACTGCTTCCTAACTGACTTCAGAGACTTGGAGTTTTGAACCTTTACTTTATTGTCTTATTGAAGAGTATTCTTAATTCTTCTTTTGGCATAAAGAAGTCACTTAAATCAAAAGGAGCTCTAGCCCAGCATTCAGAAACTTTAACCAGTCACCTACCATGGTCATCTTTATCCCTAGTAACTCCATAAGAAAAGAGAAAGAGGAATGCAGAGAGGAAACAGTGGGGAAATGCACACTATTATTTGCTGAAGCTTCAGCTAAAAATCCCTAACTGTTCTCCTAGTGGAGTAAATTGGACTAAGTACTAATTGCAAGTTTACAGCCTCTGTTCCTTGTTCCTGTGCTCACCTTCCAATTGAAATTCCCTCAAAACTATTACACCACCCTGGCAGCAAGGAAAGATGTATCTTGAGAAAAATGCATCAAGGAATTGAAAGAAGATCTAAAGGACATCTTGACTCATCTGTCAGCCCCTGGATCTCCTGAGTGCAAAAGCACTTACTCTTTCAGGCCACCCCAGAACTACTTTGTTGCTCCAATTCTGGGGAGTAAGCAAACCAAAGGAAACTGAAACCTTAAAGAAGCTATGCCTTTTCCTCACATCTTCCTTCCAAACTCTACTCCTAGTGACCCCCTGAAGGCTATTGAGTTTGACCATTCCATGAGTACTTTTTTATGCATCTCTTGCATGTCTTGATGCAAGAGGTGGGGATAGGGTGGGGATAGAGAGGAGGAAGAGTACAGGGTAGCAGAGTGCATTATAAGCTCCTCTGTCCAAGTTTGAGGAAAACTTATATTGTTCCTTAAAACTTGATCTGTAAATATAGACGTGGTGCTTCCTGTAGCCAATATTTACATAGACATATAGATAAGATTTCTTAATATGGGCTCCACTATTTCAATAGCATAATAAAGAGTAATTGTTAATAATTCTGTTCCAAGAAGCTAACTTTAAATATTAAGTTGCTTTTCATTAACATCAAAATCCACTATGCCCCAACCCAAAATTATTATAGCAGTTATCTTATAATCATAAGTCAAATATGTATCTTTCATTAAATGCCAATTCTAACTATAAATCCTTATAATACCTTCCTGTTCTTTCCCCCCAAAAGGAGAATGGATTAAGCATCACTTAGGAACAAAATGCATTTGCTTTGTATAAAAGAGAAATGCATTATTCATGTTAGTTGGACAGCAGTCATTTAATTGCATCTCTATGACATAAAATGTTCTTAAATTTTTTTTAGTCTTTCATATTTAAAAATTTTGAATGATGATAGTAAAAAAAAAAAAAATGGCATGAGTATTCCTAGGCATTAAGGGAGGGATATTTTCAATCTCATTTCTGCCATGGTTTTTTCAAAGACAAGATGAATTCTGAATATAAAAGTATTTTGTAAAATAAAAATGTGTTGATCTGAGTATTTGAGAGATTACTGGCATATTAAAGTATGACTGCTTGAAGGATTTATCCAAATTATTAGAGAAAATCTGTACAGACTCTGGGTTTGACAGATTTTGCTTTAATTTGTGGCTTCACCCACTTAGAGATAAGGTATTCAATCATGGCTGTCTAACATTAGTGAAGAGAAAAAACAGTATGCTACACTACAACTCCAGGTCCAGAGTTAGTATATTATCTATTTGACTTTCCTCCTCTTTCCAGGTAGGACATTTTTCTTTGCTTATGCTTTGATGAAGAATTTGGAGCAATTCACAAATGCAGAAGGATGCCAATCACTCATATTATTATATATTACATTTCCAGCTTTGATGCTTCATAAATACTGGTTTCACTTCGTAGCCAGAATAAGTCCACAAAACTTTGTGTGGATTTTTTTTCTCCCCGAATATAAAGAAAGACACATCAGTTTGGTCAAATTGGTATGAAACTGATATCAGTCTTTTTTGCTTCTCACATTTGGATACTTGGATATGGAGTTGAGAATCTGAAATATGCAATAGCCTGAGAAATCTATACTCCAGCTGTTTAAAATACATCCACAAAGAGTCAGCATCAAATCGGGTGTCAAAAATCAAAGTCAGAAAATATCAGGTGCCCTGGGCACCACAGAAAAACTGGCAACCTTGAATTAAAGAGGAAAGGACAGGAATTTTGAAGGTTCTGCCCTCTTTGGTCAGCATTTCTCTGTCTTTGTTATGCACACAATTTGATGCTTCATTGGTCTAAATTTTCATTATTATAGCTGATAATATAGTGTGACATTTACACTGGGGTTTTTGAGCTGTAACACTGCTCAGGTGTATCAAGGGCATTTACTCTGACTTCCAGGTTTGATTCTGCTCCCTCTGCTTAGTTGTACCATTGAACCCCTCTAGAAAGGGGGTGAGCGTCATGGATGAGTAAGCAAAGTCAGATGAGTCAAGCAACTGATTGATTCATACAAAGGAAGGTGCTGGATGATGTGTGTGTAAATGTCATCCCATTGTACACTTTAAATATGTCATACTTTTGTCAGTTATACTTCAGCACAGCTGGGTCAAGGAAAGATAGTGGGCCATTATATTTGCAGTGTGCTCCTAAGTGATTTAGGAAAAAAGTAGAAGTTGGGGTGTATGTAGACAAAGGATGTAAAGGAGTACTTTGTAATGTTTTTGCCACTCTTGGTTACTTTCTAAGTATTCCAAAATAAAATGTTTTTATTTTAAAGAATGCACTACAGTGCATGCCAAAGATGCTGAGTTAAACTCTGCTGTCAGTGAGGGAATGACCCTCTCAGGAACACAGGGCAATACCAAGGGACATGTGCCATCGCTACCTGCACCCCAGGAACAGAGGCGAGGACAGCAGGGTGTGCCCTGTCAGAGACTCTCACCATCGGCATCAAGAACCCAAAGCAGGCCTCACAGGTGGCGCAGGGGTTAAAGACACTGTCAAGCTATCGCCAGCCACTGCAGCATGAGTTCAATCCCCAGCCAGGGAGCTAACCCACATGGCACAGCAGACCTCTCCTGTCTCTCCCTCTGCTCCCCTCAGCAGTGTATTTCAGTGGTCTGCCTGTTCGGCTCCCCACCCTCTCTGATGAATCCTCTCATCCCTGCACTTACCCCAATTCTTGTATGCATAAATAAGTAAATCTTAAAAAAAAAAAAAAGAACCCCAGAGCAAAGGATGTTTGCAAGGAGCAATCCCACATCTTTAGAGAAGTTTCCCAGATCAT